GACAGTGCTGATTGGCCCTGTGCTGATCACATGCATTCTCCCAGTAAGAAAAAAAAGCTTCTCTAGCAATATACACCCAACTGAGCACGTGCATGCCTACGGTTCAGTCTGGAAATAAGTGGTGGTCACTTGAAAAAGGGGAGTAACAGAGAAGAAAGGATCAAACAGCCTTTTTACACAATGCAGAGGATTAACTCCTTAGGTTCCACAGTGAGTATACCAAGCATGCTTTATTGCATATACAGACTGATTTTACTGTTGTGGGTTTAGTGACACTTTAAAGTCGGGATCCATCCAGATGCCTGGACTGGCAGCTGGCTCAGCCTTTTAGCGAGCCTCGCTCTCCAGTGAGCGCTGGAGGTACAGAGACTGACAGTCACCGGCTCTCTGCTCACTAAAGATCGAGAACTAATTGCTCAGTTCTCGGTGTAAAGCCAGCGGAGGACCGATGTTGCATCCACTTAAGGTGAGTATATATGTTTGTTATTTCCATACCCGCACTTCTCTTTTAACCCCTTAGCACCCAGTGTTAGCTTAGGCACATTAACCCCTTAGCACCCATTACACTGAATAAATGGCATAACCCCTCAATGCCAGTTCACATCCTAACTGTATTTTGTCCCTAGTGCCCAGTCCCAGGTATTTATATTATGTTACTTCTCAGCACCAAGTACACAGCTTATGTAGGTTAATCTCTCCCTACCCCCCATGGCCCAGTGTATGTTCCTTAAATTCTCAGAACCCATTCTTCTGCTATGTCTTGTGCTTATTGCATTTATCTCTCAGCTATCTCTAAATTAAGACCATCTCTGTTACCCAGAAAAACCATTAGATTCCAAATCATTCACTGTCAGTGGGTGTCTAAAAGGTTTTTTTTTATTCCAAACAAATTTTATTGGAAAATAAACAACAAATACAAGTGAAGTACTTCACTGTACAACTAAAAGTTTGATTTAGATTAGGGACATAAGTAAACAGTTCAAAAAGTCTGTGTGATTTCATCAGGGGAGGACAACGAGTCCTTTCCTTTGTGAATAGGTGTACTGAAGTAGTTTGTAACAGGTCTATGTGGTGAGATAGAAATTGGAGATGCACAATGCAGAGTACCCAATTTATGGAAATGAAAACTTATATAGTATGTATTTTATTGTACAGATATGGTGTTGGTGGTATTGCTTGTAGAGTTAAATTTAGGTGAGTTTTGCTTGAGTTAATCCAGTTGCTTAAAGTATGTAAACCCTCACCTTGTAAAAAAATCCAGGCAGTTTAAAATAGAAATGAAAGGCAAACCATTTGTATAGATATAAAAAAAATTATAAATACTTTTTTTTATACATGTTCTCTGTTCTCAGCTGAATAGAGAGCTGGGGGAGGAGAAGCAGCAGAACACTAATCTTCCCAGTGAATGGATGTGCGAGGGGCGCTGTGTTGGAGGAGAGCCAGCTGAGTTTCCAGCGCAACTGCAGAACTGACCACACTGCACTCTCATGTCTAGTGTGGTCAGTTTTTAATAGGAAAGCAGAGGGACTGGCAGAAACACCAGGGATTTCACACAAAAAAAAACAATACAAAACAAAAATACTTTTTCATACAAGTACATTTTACAGAAGACATATCTCAGGAATATGAAATGTTGGATTTACATATTCTTTAATAGCATAAAGAACTCAAGACAATTAAAATACAAATATTGAGCTGAAACAGACTGCTCAAACTGGCAGGGCAGAAGCACAAGGTTGCCAGGAAAGACATGTCTCTCTTAACACTTTTAGATACGTTTTTTTTTAAGTTAAACTATTTGAACAATCTGTTTTTGAACTTCAATTTTTGTTTATGGTTGTTAATATTGTAATAGGGTTGTATACCAGCTCTAAACATGATTGTAATCTTATGTTTTCATTCACAGTGCTATTCAGAGTCGCATTTTTCATATGCTTTGTAACCTCTTTAATAACATGTTTGAGTTTTGCTCTGAATTAGTGGTGCCCCATAAGAGCGCAGAGCTTCCAAGAACATTATTTTGATCCAGCATAATTGTGTCCAGCTTTTTTAGATTGTGTGTGGCATCTGTCTTAGGGTAATAAAATTGTTGTGCTCATGTAGCCCATATTTCCTATACTATGCCGCCTTGTACTTCTATTATCATTAGAAAATGTATTATGTAATTCTATCTCATTAGTCTCTTTTTATTTTTTTGATTGATATATGTATTTATCAGCATACATTATCATAAGGGTTTTCTATTTACTGTATTTTGCTTTAGAAACTGAAGCAAAGCTGATGTACCGGCAGCAAAATGGGTGCCTTGTCCGAAATTCTAGTTGGCATGAAAAAGCATTACATTGCATTTGTCTGGCTGAATGGTGTTCATTTTATTTCCTTCAAAAACTAAGATGCATGCTAATTTAAAAAAAGCAAAGCTTATGATAGTAAATCAAATATCAGTTAAGGTGTTATCAATTGAGTAAACATGCACTACAGATAATATATTAACATTTATCAGCTCCAGTTTTCTGCAGATGGTTAAGACAAAAAGAGGGTTAAAAACCTCCTGTTTAGTGAATTTCAGCACAGGTGCTAATGACACGTTCCTAAAACTGATATTAATTCTCCTTATTAGTCTAAGCGTTGTACTTGGGGTAGCAGCACGTACGTTCCCAGGCTCTTGGCTGTGTGGTCTTGCTGCAGTTGGAAACTGAACTGAAACATCTGAGAAGCATTAATGGGATTATTCATGGCAGGGCATCTAATCTTACCTTTTAGGTTCAGCTTCCTAAATCACTATTGTTCTCGCCTATTGATACTAATGTGTGTGTCTTTCCATATGTCATTTTTAATGACTGGGGAGCCCAGGACAGGGAACTTAAAGTGATATAACCATTATGAAGGCAGAGTTTTTTTCACTGCGGGATTTCTTCTGAAATGTACCGCTTCTGTGCCCAAAGTGTTAGCAGGATTATCTGTCCTAAGAGACTTTTAAAACCGTTCCCCTTTACAGAAGGAGCGAAGATTAACTGAACAGTGATAATAAATTCTCCACATCTGTAGAGCCCATGTATCACAGTATGCAGTGAGTGAAGAATGTACCCAGCATCTAGTGTAGTTTATATCTTTTCTTAAGCAAGCACAGATTATGAAAATTTCTTTCCTTCAACCACATTTCCCTATCAACCAGGGGCGGACTGACCATTTGGACACTCGGGCACTGCCCGAGGGCCCAGGGTCAGTAGGGGGCCCCATGAGATGCCCCTGGTACCTTTTTCATAGGCTTTTTTGAGTTTGGGCAAAGACACAGGGGCCCCATGATCCCCTATTGCTCAGGGGCCCCATGAGTTGTCAGTCCGCCCCTGCTGTCAACACAGTCAGTGTTGATGGGGGGTACCCTAACGATGCACTATTGTATTCTGGGGTTTCCCCACTGTCAGAATGCAATGATTACTGCTGGCGGCTAGATCTACTTAAGTATAACCAGCCTGCTCATAGATGAATCAATATTCAGCTGGTTCCTGCTGAAACGACCAAAATGTGATGTGTCTATGGCCGGCCTTAGAGTGTATTTATAAATCCAGGAACAAAAATTTTATATATTGCAGCTTACCAGTTACTAGATGTGATGGATGTAGTGGCTGCATTTGTTTTCCTTTTTTCAGTTTTCTTTCCTTTAATTTCATCTGGTGGTCCTGCTAATGACATACTTCCTGCCCTAGGATGACAACACTCACTTACTGTACTGTATATATAGAGGAGCAGCATTGTCACTCTAGGACAAAGACTACAGAACGCCCCTTCTCATCTCCATAACATAGAGGGGAGGTGTTCTGTAGTCCTTGTAGAGAACTGAAAACAAGGCTAACTGGTAACATCCAGCAGAAGCAGACAGCTCATAAGACAACAGGTGTTATTTTGCACGTATAAATAGGTATAGAAAAATGCTTTAAATGGTATATTTAATAAAAATTCATACACTTTAACCTCCTCCTGATTATTTCAGATTTTTGGTGCTGAAATCGGTACCATTATTTTGCATGGAAATTTGGCATTTTATATTGTAGGCCTGTAATTCTTAGGAATAACTCACTGAAATCTGTCAGAACAAGAGTCTAGTAAACATCCCGGGTAGGATAAAATTTGAAACACGAAATCATAAATTATAATTTAATAAATAATCATAAAAAAATAATAATATAATAATAATAAATTTAATTCAATAATATAATCAAACCAAAAACACTGAAATTTGAAATATAGCGCCAAGTTCGCACATCACTGAGCAAAGTCTCAGAATCGTTTTTCAGTGTCTGATGACGAATTTCCACATGAATCATTATCACTCAATTCTGCAAGTAGTTCTAATTTACTATCGCTGTTCTCTAGCTGGTCTAAAACCGCTTTTGACCTAAAGGGACGCTTTTTGGACGCCATGGACATTTCTCAGTTTCCAGACAGAAAGAACAGTAAAAATGCAGGCAGGGCACAGGACAAAGCACTAGGGACAAAATGTATGTCAAATGCTTTGATACAGTAATGTTTTACTATGTGATTTTAGTGAATGTCACTTTTTGTCATTTTCAAATTTCCCGCCGGTTCCGTCCCCCATACGTCCCGATGCTCGAAGAGAACGGAACCCAGATGACAGATGCCGGCATCCGCCGGATTACATTGCCGGGGACACTGCAGAAGGGACATTGCGGGAGGCAGGACAAGGTAAGTCAAGAAGAGATCCCGGAGCATCGCCGCATGGTAAGCCCGAGTGTAGCTCGGGGTTACCGCTTGTGGTACTGAAACTTTACTCAGAGCTACACTCGGGAATACCGCCAGGAGGTTAATATAGCTCTTGGTACATTGCTAAATATGTACATATTAACATTTTTTTGCTGCTGTATATGTAATAAATATGAAAACATTTAATATATTTTGCTCTTTTGCATTATGGGTCTATATCTACGTTAGGCTACCATAACGGAGCTGCCTCTTTATGAGCATGGTGTAGGTGATCATAGTAGCCTCCCTGGCGGTATTCCAGAGTGTAGCTCGGGGTAAAGTTTCAGTACCACAAGCAGTAACCTCGAGCTACACTTGGGCTTACTATGTGGCGCTGCTCTGGGATCTCTTCTTGACTTACCTTGTCCTGCGCTCCCGCAATGTCCCTTCTGCAGTGTCCCCGGCAATGTAATCCGGCGGATGCCGGCATCTGTCATCTGAGTTCCGTTCCCTTCGGGCATCGGGACGTATGTGGGACGGAACGGCGGGAAATTTGAAAATGACAAAAAGTGACATTCACTAAAATCACTAAAATCACATAGTAAAACATTACTGTATAAAACCATTTCACATAAATTTTGCCCCTAGTGTCCCTAGTGCTTTGTCCTGTGCCCTGCCTGCATTTATACTGTTCTTTCTGTCTGGAAACTGAGAAACGTCCATGGCGTCCAAAAAGCGTCCCTTTAGGTAAAAAGCAGTTTTAGACCAGCTAGAGAACAGCAATAGTAAATTAGAACCACTTACAGAATTGAGTGATAATGATTCGTGGGGAAATTTGTCATCAGACACTGAAAACGATTCTGCGACTTTGCTCAGTGATGTGCAAACTTGGCGCTATATTTCAAATTTCAGTGTTTTTGGTTTGATTATATTATTGAATTAAATGTATTATTATTATATTATTATTCTTTATGATTATTTATTACATTATAATTTATGATTTCGTGTTTCAAATTTTATCATACCCGGGATGTTTACTAGACTCTCGTTCGGACAGATTACAGTGAGTTATTCCTAAAAATTACAGGCCTACAATATAAAATGCCAAATTTCTATGCAAAATAATGGTACTGCTTTCAGCACCAAAAATCTGAAATAATCATACCGCCAGGGAGGTTAATAAAGCATTGACTGTATCATTCATCAAATGTTCATTGCAGGTGTTTTTAATGATAATGATGGAGACACTTGCAGTGAATATTTGGTGAATGTCATTCACTGCTTTAAAAATAGACCCCTGGTAATTATTGGATTTACAGACAATTTAACAGTGAAGAATGCACTCTTTTTTAATTCTGTCCATTGCTGCTGCTAAACTCAAAATGTACTTTCAGTACACCGTTTCACAGTGCAAGTCTAAAGTACAAAGGCATGCATATTAAGATATTAGCTTTCCTTCTGATTTCATATGGGCAGATTTAAAAATATGGGACTCTCTTGGTCTTGGTAAAAGCTCAGGTAAAGGGATCTCAAAGAAAACATATGGATTTGCAGAGCAGAACCATGTTGGGAGGAAAAATTAGTGCTAGTATGTGGATAGGCTATGTTCGTTATGTCTATTTGAAAGGCAAATTTTCATGCTGGACTGAATTGTAGCACTGTGAGTGTAGAATGTCATATGACACAAATGTCCACTGCTCTTATGTAACGTCACAATTGTCCACTGCTCTTATGTAACATCACAAATGTCCACTGCACATATGTAACATCACAAATACCCACTGCTCCTATGTCATGTCACAAATATCCACTGTTCCTATGTCACTTCACATATGCACACTGCTCTTATGTCACATCCAGGGGTGGACTGATAACTTATGGGACCCCCAGGCAATAAGGGATCATGGGGCCCCTGTGTCCTCCCTCACACCCAAAAAAGACTATGAAAAAGCCAATAAAAGGTACCAGGGGCATCTAATGGGGCCCCCTACTGACCCTGGGCCCTCGGGCAGTGCCCGAGTGCTCGAATGGTCAGTCCGTCCCTGGTCATGTCACTTATACACACTGCTCTTATATCACATCACATATACACACTGCTCTTATGGCACATCCCAAATACCCACTACTCTTGTGTCAATTCACAAATACCCACTGCTCTTATGTCACATCACATATACACACTACTCTTATGTCACATCCCAAATACCCACTGCTGTTGTGTCACTTCACAAATACCCACTGATCTTATGTCACGTCACATGTCACGTCGCATATATACACTGCTCTTTATGTCACATCACATATACACACTGCTCTTATGTCACGTCACATGTCACGTCACATATATACACTGCTCTTATGTCACATCACATATACACACTGCTCTTATGTCACACACTGCTCTTATGTCACATCTCAAATACCCCACTACTCTTATGTCACGTCACAAATACCCACTGCTCTTATGTCACGTCACATATATGTCCGTCACTGCTCTTATGTCACGTCACGAATACCCACTGCTCTTATGTCACATCATGAATACCCACTGCTCTTATGTCACGTCATGAATACCCACTGCTCTTATGTCACATTACATATACACACTGCTCTTATGTCACGTCACATATACCAACTGCTCTTATGTCACGTCACGAATACCCACTGCTCTTATGTCACGTCCTGAATACCCACTGCTCTTATGTCACATCACATATACACACTGCTCTTATGTCATGTCACAAATACCTACTGCTCTTATGTCACGTCATGAATACCCACTGCTTTTATGTCATGTCACATATACCCACTGCTCTTAGGACGCATTGCAGTGATGTAGTTCAGGTATTGTGAGCCAGAGAAAAGGTGATATTATTTAAATAGTTTAAATTCCTAACTCGATCAGTTTTATGACAGCCTCACGTTCAAAGATAATTCCATATCCTGTTCTAAATAATTGCTAAGTGGAATTAGTGGTTTAATTAACACACATAGTGGTATGTTAGTTTTTTGGAATTTGTAAATGTTGTTTCCAAGAATGTAGGTACTGAAAACATTTAAACGTTAAATGAAGGCCTAAAATGACTCTGATATCTAACCAATCTAAACATGTAAAGTAGAGCTAAAGGCAAAACTTATATTTTTTTGTTGGGATAGAGAAAAAGAGGGTCATAACCCCTGTCAGTTTATTTTCCAACTGCCATTGGGTCCCATAGCCAAAACAGGAAGAGAGAGAAGAAATCCCTCCAAAGTGAGGGAATCCCTGGTTGTTACCAAGGTCACCAAAACTAGTGTCCCCATTAAAAGATTTTCCCTTTCTTACTGTTCTGGGACAACCCCAAATGGGATGTTCTTTCAGTTTTACTTTCACACTCGGTGATAGAGACTAACAGGACAAATATAGAGGATGAATTGCTGGAACGAGGACACAGACAGCAGTAAAAACCCCTGCCAGGGGTTCTAATCCCTCACAACTCTATCCAAAACAACAACAAAAAAATAGTTTTAAGTTATACATTAAAGTTTTGATGGGATAAGAGAGGGTTAGTACCCTTGTCAGTTTTTTTTTCATTGCTGTGTGCCCCCAGGGGAAATTTGCTGTGCACAAAGGACTCCCAGTGCCAAGATCTGGGCATGGAAAACTAGTGATCTGATGGTTTTACCGATCTGTACGTAGTAATGATGTTGTAGTAGTTGCATTGATATATAATAGTACTTCCAGTTGGAAAACATTCTAAAAGCTGAAATCTCATTTACAAAAACACCTAACATTTTTTTTAAAGAGACCTCTGCTTTAAACTGTTTCAGAGGCTTCTGTTTGGCAGTACTAATATTTACCACAACTAGAAGCTTCACACTGAGACTTTGAAATTGTAGAGGAAAGCTGGTGCTGCTGCAATTCATCCCTTTAGGGGCTGTTCACACCATCAAAAGTGCGTTCGTGTGTGGTTTTGCACTTTCCCATGTGGCGTGTTTTTGACAGCCCATTCATTTCAGTGGACTGCCAGACGCGCAGGAACGTAAAAAATAAGGCAAGAAGGCTTATGGAAGGCTATGGAAGGCAGGACTTTTAAACTGCATGGAATTGTGATACCAGGTGTTTTGGTGCCCGTTAAGGTACCCACATTTGCAGGATACGTGGGGGTGCCATTATGAATTAATGGTACCCACGTGCGTCTGCAGTTGGCAGAGTATTCCCCCACATGCATTTCCAAATGCATTCCTGAACTCAAGGCAACTATAAAAACGCCATTCAATGAACCTACAGTTGTGACCAAAATTATTCAACCCCCACTGAAATTGAGTGTTTTGGCCAGTTTGACATTGCTTTTGATCATTCAGTCATCTTGCTTACATTTACATTAAAGAGGCACTTGTAGGTCAGACAAATATAACATAACAGTTATAATGAAATAACCACAAATGTCTTTTCTGTGCTCACAGCATTATCAGTTTTATTCAACCCCCAAGTGACATTCAATCTTAGTACTTAGTACAGCATCCTTTTACAGTTATAACAGCTTTTTAAACGTGAAGCATAGCTTGACACAAGTGTCTTGCAGCGATCTACGGGTATCTTCGCCCATTCTTCATGGGCAAAGGCCTCCAGTTCAGTCACATTCTTAGGCTTGCGCACTGCAACTGCTTTCTTTAAGTCCCACCAGAGGTTCTCAATCGGATTTAAGTCTGGTGACTGCGATGGCCACTCCAAAATGTTCCAGCCTTTCCTCTGCAACCATGCTCTAGTGGACTTGGAGGTATGCTTGGGATCATTGTCCTGTTGAAAGGTCCAACGTCTCCCAAGCCTCAGGTGTGTGACGGACTGCATCACGTTTCCATCCAATATCTCCTGGTACTGAAGAGAATTCATGGTACCTTGCACACGCTGAAGCTTCCCTGTACCTGCAGAAGCAAAACAGCCCCAAAGCATGATTGACCCTCCACCATGCTTCACAGTAGGCAAGGTGTTCTTTTCATCATAGGCCTTGTTCTTCCTCCTCCAAACATAGCGTTGATCCATGGGCCCAAACAGTTCTAATTTTGTTTCATCAGTCCACAGAACACTATCCCACAACTTTTGTGGTTTGTCCACATGGCTTTTGGCATACTGCAGTCGACTCTTCTTATTCTTTGGAGACAGCAAGGGGGTACGCCTGGGAGTTCTGGCACGGAGGCCTTCATTACGCAGTGTGCGTCTTATTGTCTGGGCTGAAACTTCTGTACCCACATCTGACAAATCTTTTCTCAGTTCCTCAGCAGTCACACGGGGACTTCTCTCCACTCTACGCTTCAGGTAGCGCACAGCAGTCGAAGTCAGCATCTTCTTTCTGCCACGACCAGGTAGCGTTTCAACAGTGCCCTTTGCCTTGAATTTGCGAATGATGCTTCCTAAGGTGTCTCTTGGTATGTTTAACATCTTTGCAATCTTCTTATAGCCATTGCCCTTCCTGTGAAGAGAAATCACCTCTTCTCTTGTCTTCCTGGACCATTCTCTTGCCTTCACCATGTTTGTAACCACACCAGTAAATGTCTAGAAGGAGCTGAGTATCACAGTCATTTAAAGCTGCCTAATTGGTGCTTATTATGCTTGATTGCTGCTCGGTGACATCCACAGGTGTTTTCAATACCTGATGGAAA